GTCCCCGTTGAGGACCCCATTCCACTTGTTCCAGTTGTGACTAAGTCCTTGCCTCCAATGCAACTTCCTGTTGAATGGCCACCCATTCGTCAAGTGAATACACAGCGACAACACGTACCAACTCCTCTAGCTTTGTCACCGTCGACAGATCCAGCAGTTGTTCCCACATCATCTACAACCATAGTTTTTGACCTTGATCATCCTATTGCCATGTGGAAAAGTAAATGCAGTTGCACACTTCATCCCATTTCTAATTATGTTTCTGTCACTCACCTTTCTGCTTCCCATCGCCAGTTTATTTCTTTGTTGTCTTCTATTTCTGTTCCTACGGATGTCTAGGAAGCCCTTACCTCTCTAGGGTGGTGCCATGCAATGGAAGAAGAACTCTCTGCCTTAACTCATAATCATACGTGGGATCTCACCACACTTCCTCATGGTAAGCAGGTTGTCGGTTGTAAGTGGGTATACATTGTTAAATATTTACCAAATGGTAGTGTAGAACAGTTAAAAGCTAAACTGGTCGCCAAAAGGTATTCCCAAACATATGGTATTGACTACATGGAGACCTCTCCGGTTTCTAAAATTGGTTCAGTCCGTATTGTGATATCTCTAGCTGCTATGTATGATTGGCCTTTCTTTCAGCTTGACATCAATAATGCCTTTTTACATGGTGATCTACTTGAGGAAGTCTATATGGAGCAACCACTAGGGTTTGTTGCTCAAGGGGAGGATGGTAAGGTGTGCAAACTAAAGGAGGCCATTTTATGGACTTAAATAGTCTCCTCTTGCGTGGTTTGGTAGATTCAGTGAAGTGATAATGAAACAGTGTCAGGTTGATCACTTAGTGATAGATTGGGAATTGATAGGTTGAAGACCTTCCTGCAAGAACACTTATAAACAAAGGACCTTGGTAAATTAAAATACTTCTTGGGGATAGAGGTAGAAAGGTCTAAGCATGGTATTAATTTGTGTCAGAGGAAATATGTTATTTCTTTGTTGGAAGAATAAGGATTATTAGGTGCCAAACCAGCTGAAACACCTATGGAACCAAATGCCAAGTTGAGCAGTGATATGGGTGAAGAAGTTGAAGATCCTAGAAGGTATAGGCGGTTGGTGGGTAAGTTAAACTACCTAACCATAATCCGGATAAATAATTCACTTGCAGTTAGTGTGGTGAGTCAGTTTATGCAGAAACCTCGGGTTCCACATTGGGATGCAGTTCTAAGGATTGTAAGGTATTTGAAGGGAGCTCCTGGTTGTGGCTTGATATATAAGAGTGGAGGAAATCTCGAAATAGAGGGATACACCAATGCTAATTGGACTGGTTTTGTATCTAACAGAAGATCCACTACAAGTTATTGTACTTTCCTTGGGGGTAATCTGGTGACATGGAAAAGAAACAAACAATTGTGGAAAGAAGCTGTGCAAAAGCTTAATACAGAGCCATGGCACGTACCACTTGTGAATTAGTGTGGCTGAGAAATCTTCTACAGGAGATAGGGTATTTGGTTGACACTCCAATGAAGCTTTATTGTGACAACCAAGCTGCAGCCCACATCTCTTCTAATCCAGTGTTTCATGAGAGAACAAAGCATATAGAAGTTGACCGTCACTTTGTGAGAGAAAAGGTGCTTAGTGGAGTGATAGATACTACATATGTTAACACAGGGAGTCAATGGGCAGACTTGTTCACCAAAGGGTTGAGTCGGGGAAGAGTGGACTACATATGTAACAAGCTGGGACTATATGATATATACTCACCAGCTTGAGGGGGAGTGTTAGTGCCGATTGTATAGGGGTAATTTAGTCTTTCTATTTATGTTTAAAGATGATGTGTAATGTTTATGTTAAGTGATGTGTCCCATACTTAAGTAGGGGCATAATAGTTTATTGGATAGAAACACATAAATATAACCTGGCCGACTAGAGAGAAAGATTAAGCTCTCTAGTTCGAACCAGATTTCTCTTCTCCTCTATTCTCTCTTCTTCTCTTCTTCTTCTTCTTCTATTCTCTTTAGTATTTCTTCTACTACCTCTCTAATACTAATACTAACAAAATTCTAGTGCAGATCATAATTTTATCACTTTGTTGTCCTCTATATCTATACCCAAGGATGTCTAGGAGGCCCTTACTTCACCCGGGTGGCATCAAGCAATGAAGGAGGAACTCTCTGCTCTTCAACATACTCGCACGTGGGAGCTCACCATTCTTCCTCCAGGTCAACATGTTGTAGATTGTAAATTGGTGTGTGTATACTGTTAAATATTTACCAGATGGTAGTGTGGAGCGGTTGAAGGCACGACTAGTTGCTAAATGTTATTCTCAATTGTATGGGATGGACTATATGTAGACCTTCTCCCCTGTGGCAAAGATTGGTTCAGTTCGTCTCTTAATTTCCTTCGCAGTTATATATGATTGGCCTCTGTTTCAGCTTGACATTAAAAATGCCTTCCTCCATGGTGACCTTGTGGAGGAGGTATAAATGGAGAAAACACCAGGGTTTGTTGCTCAGGGGAAGGATGGTAAGGTGTGTAGATGGAAAATGGCAATTTATGGGCTGAAATAATCTCCTCATGCTTGGTTTGGGAAGTTTAGTGAAGTGGTGAAAAATTTTGGAATGAAACAATGTCAGGTCGACCACTCAGTGTTCAACTATTATTCTAAAGCCAAAAAGATTTTATTAGTAGTTTATGTGGATGATATAGTCATAACTGGCAGTGACAGATTAGGGATTGACAAACTAAATGCCTTTCTGCAATACCATTTTCAAACAAAAGATCTTGGAAAGTTGAAGTATTTCATGGGTATATAAGTTACCAGGTCGAAACAAGGTGTAAACTTGTGCCAAAAAAAATATGTTTTTGATCTACTGGATGAAACGGGTTTGTTAGGTGCGAAACTAGCTGAAACACCCATGGAACCAAATGCTAAGTTAAGCAATGATGGAGGTGAAATATTTGATGATCCTGAAAGATATAGACGATTAGTGGGAAAGCTGAACTACCTAACCATTACCAGACCAGACATCTCCTTTGTTGTTAGTGTGGTGAGCCAATTTATGCAAAACCCCCAAGTAGATAGTTGAACGGAGCTCCAGGTCACAAGTTGTTATACAAACCAGGGGGAAGACTTGAGATAGTTGGGTATACAGATGCAAATTGGGCAAGCTTGGTGTCTGACAGGATATCCACTACAGGTTATTACACGTATCTTGAAGGAAATCTGGTGAAGATTAAGAGTAAGAAACAAACTATTGTGGAAAGGAGTAGTGCTAAAGCTGAATACAGGGCCATGGCATACACCATATGTGAATTAGAATGGCTGAAAAATCTTCTATAAGAAGTTGGATTCTCAATGAGCAAACCTATGAGATTGTACTGTGACAACTAAGTTGCAATCCACGTCCCATGTTATCCAGTTTTCCATGAAAGGACAAAATACATAGAGGTTGATTGCCATTTTGTGAGGGAGAAAGTCCTTACTGGAGAGATAAGCGCAAAACACATGAGTTCAGGTGATCAATGAGCAGACTTGTTCACAAAAGGTTTGAGTTAAGGAAAGTGAACTATATATGTAACAAGCTGGGATTATATGACATTTATTCTCCAGCTTGAGGGGGAGTGTTGAGTTGGTCAAGTAAGGGTAACTTAGTCTTTTCATTATAGTTTAAGTAGTGTAGTGATGTGGCAATTCTGTTTTGTATTTTATTTTTCTTGTCCCATACTTAAGTAAGGGTATGTTTGACTTTGTACCCTTATATTAATATAATAGAGATTATGGTCAACTAGGGGTGAACCACTTAAACGGTAGATTTCCTAACCAAGCAATCTTTAACAAATATTTTATTTACCAGAATAATTAATAAAAGGATACTTAAAGCAAACAATGGCACAAGCAACAATAAAAATATAACTAGGGGTATATTTGACTTCTTCTCTTTCTCTTTGACAGGACTTATCTGAACCACTTAAAAAGTAGATTTCCTAACCAAGCAATCTTTAACAAAAATTTTATTTACCAGAATAATTAATAAAAGGATACTTAAAGCAAACAATGGCACAGGCAACAATAGAAATATAACTAGTGATATAGTACAAGATGGATAAAGGTCCTACATCACTTTGGCATCAAGTGAATCCTGATGCATTAGAGTGAAAGCTAGAGGTCTCATTTATTCATGGATAGTGGTAAGAATTTGATTAATGTCCAATGACAATAAAAGAATTTCAAGCACATTTTTATGAGCATATCCTCAAAAGACAAGCAGGGGTACAATAAAGACATTGAGGGCTACTAGCTGCCAACCTTTTCAAGGCATCCAAACCCCAAGTTAATGGAGCTAAAAAAGCAAGAAAAATTTAAAAAGGTTCTTCAAGAAAATCAGCCAGATCTAGAGAACTGGTCATTAAAGTTCAATCTCATCCACTTTGACATTTCAATGGTTGACTGATCTTTGTTTTTCAAGCTTGGATATTTTTCCTATAATGTGGGTTTTAGGCCTTCCACTATTTACCCTTCAACACTATAAAACTCAGGGATAAGTTGTTTAGGACCAAATTTGCAACTCACAAAGTTTCTAGGAAAAATTAAGCTTATCTCTATGAGATCCATGAGCCTCTTAGGATCTAACTGATCTAAGTAATCTTTAGAGGTCCTAACAGTGATCAATATGACCTTGTGCATTTGAACTGTGTACCAAGTGGATACAGTGACCATTGACATGATCTCTTTAATGGTATAAAATTTGAGAGCACTAGATAAGGAGGATGCTTGCCCTAATACCCACTCAGGCAATCGGCAGTCTCCACCAGGTTCACAACAATACATATGTGTGCAACCAGCAAAAGATGGTTGGCCATTGGCCCCAACCTCTGAACCTTATAAATTCTAGGCAAACTGAAGATAATAGGACCAGAACCAGAGTTCAATTTGGGCTGGTCTGTGAGGCCAATACATAGTATCCAAATTTATATATATTAAAAAAAAAAGCAGAACTTACTGGAATCAAAAATTAGGCCCGGGTCTAGAGCAGAAGTTGCATTGACAAAGCCACTGCCCATGTCAAAGGGTGTTGCCGGCGACTGGTTTTGGTCAGGATTGGAGTATGAACGCTGGGCCATTATAGGACTGCCATTATTGTCATAGAGGGAGGCTGTTGTGGAAAGTGCTGAACCAATGGCTGATGGACTAAAATTTGGAAACTTCTGCTTGATCAGTGATGCAAGTCCAGCAACATGAGGAGCAGCCATACTTGTCCCAGACATCATTGCAAAGTTCTCACCTGGTACAATTAATTAGAATGCAAGGAATTAAAATCAATCATAAGGAAAATTGAGAATTTTCGAATAGAAAGAAGACTCAAGTTATGTGTATCTGTATCATTAGGTTTGTAGCTCAAGTAAATAGGAACAACGTAAACCATGTAGCTCAAGGGAAAGACTTTTTCTGTCCTTCATGACTGATGATGTAAAACTCATCCATGTAATAATTAGGGAATTCAAAGGGTACCAAAAAATTTTGTAATACAGCTCATGCCAAATGCAGTATTGCTCAAATAATCTAAATCTTTTAATCAGGAGAACTTGGATCTTGAATAGTAAAAACTAAAGTCGAAGTTTCAGAAAATATCCAATTGTCTGCTTTGAAGGCTAAGTTGGATTCTTCATATTGTTATACAGGTAGGAAAGTTACAAAGTACAGTGTCAAGGGTTCCCAAGATCATGTAGGAACATTACTATAAGAGTAAATTCAATGGACACATATTGGTGTCCTTGTTACATATTTGTCCAAGGTGGACTCTAGGTGACTAGGATCTCTACAAGCGATAAATGGGCTACGGTTATTTAGGCACTGAAGCTATGAATGGTAACCTTGGTGTGGGAACAGGCAACTGCACTTGGGAGTTTGACCTATGTTGTTATGCCAGTGCTCAACACGGTCCAGGCCAGACTAAACTGAAAGCCCAGTCAAATTTGGTTGTGATGCAGAATGTACATCTCTTAGATATTAAAAGTATATTTTTTTTTGGAAAAGGTAATGTAAGTTTATTCATCATAAGCAAAAGAAGGCTGCAATTCAGACCCGAGCAGGCAGTCTGAAAAGCAACCAAAATTACAACCTCCACCAGGAGCATGACTGAAACCTGAATTCCCCATAGGTAGAAATCCAAGAGATCAACTTGCCCACAGCTCTCTGAATTACATGATCAACATCCTTATACCTATTACAAAAGATTCTACTATTCCTTTCAGCCCAAATGGACCACAGGATTGCAGCTGGAATTGTCTTCCACACTATTAAAAATATTGTTGAAAACATTATTAAGAAGAGGGAGCATCCAAAGTTCCATAAAGTATATGAGAGGATAAATGGGCCAGCCAAGCCAAACCATCAGTTTCAGCCCAATTTCTGTCAAATTGATAAGTAAGGAAAATATCTGTTTTAATAAACAGCTTTGTGGTTAACAGTGAGGGTGGGCCTTGGTGCAACAGTTGGGTTGCTCCATTGCGACCTGGGTGACCAGGGTTCAAATCTTGGAAACATCCTCTTTGTATGTGCAGGGGCAAGGCTGTGTACATCTGTCCCCTCCCCAGATCCTGCATTCGCAGGAGCCTCGTGCACTGGGGTGCCCTTTATGGTTAACAGTCCTAGTAAAAGACTAATTTGAGTTTTAGTTCATGTTGGGAGTCAGAATTAGTTTTCTATTGCAAGTCGACTTCCTTTTTCTGTATGGAGTTCTACTGTAATTGACTCGTCCCTACTATAAAAGGAGGGGTTGGTGGAAGCTTTTGGAGCAGAATTGATATTTAATTTATTAATTTTTTTATTACTGCTCTACCTACATAATTCTGTATACTAGAGTTAGGTAATCCTAGACTTTCTCTTCATTGCTCTTTTATTGAATATAAGAGAGGATTCCAGCTTTTTCTAATTTTAAAATTATGGGATAGGAGACCTGTTCCATGATTTTTGGTGAGTTAGCAAATACAGTCTACCTTTCTGTGTTGTGCTAGTTCAATTGGAACTTTGGATGTATGTTATTGACAATCTCTTCAAGGTGAAAGTTATTCCACCTAATGTAAAAGTGTATCTCATTGTAAGAATCAAGGACAAGCCGTTGCATGGTGGCATTACTATCCACAAGGAGACTTTCCAAGATGAAGATTTGGGAACATATAAATCAACTAATGAATGAAGAATTTCTTCCCTTTACTTACAGATAAGCTATAGCCAATAGGTTCAAGTTGTCCCGAGGCAACCATACAGTTTATGAGGTATACATGAAAGAGATCCACAAACTTGTTGCTCGGCTTAAAGTGAGGGAAAGCCAAGAGGATCTGTTTGCAAGGTATGTTACAAAGAACTACATGTCCAAACAAGTATGAATGTTTCTGATGCCATCCAAAAGGCAATGTTCTCAGAAAAATGGTATGCTCAACATTCCTATAAGCCCGCAACATCCCATAAAAGAACCCAGACTTCAAATACTATCCTCTTTCACTAAATCTCAAAATTCAGCCAGTAACCCACCCCAATCCAGCAGATAGATTCCTGAAAGTCCTAGTCCAAAACCCAACCAAACCAGGTTTGACATGGTATGTCATAAATGCTGGGCTAGACAGCTTGTCATTTTTTATGATGGAGCTCAAAGATTGTGTTTTTGGATGAAGATGAACAAGAAGAAATAGCACCTAGTGGTGAAGAACAAGAGGAGAAAGATGCCATAAGTCAAGGGGATTATGGTCCATGTTTGGTGAACAGGAGGTCCTTCTACGCTCCTATGAAGGGAGAAACATCATCAGGAAGTGTAAAGAAGTGGCTTGGTCAGCTCCAAGGAAGATTTCATCTAACCCAATTTGGTCTCCTCCAACTTTGGGGTTCACTAAACTAAACTTTGATGGCAGTAGCGAGAGAAATCCAGGCCCTTCAGGTATAGGGGGAGTTTTCAGGGATGGAGAAGGTCGAATTATTGCCATGTATTCCGGTTCTATCGGATGGGGGGACTCTCTTAGAGCTGAAATATTGGCGGTTTTGGAAGGGTTAAAAAGAGCCCAAGAGTTGAATATCAGAAAATTGATAGTGGAAGTTGATTCTAAGCTGGCTATCAATTGGCTGCAGAAGGACGATTTTAGTTTGTGGAAATTTCTAAATGAGACAAAGAAAGTTAGACAGCTCACTCAGAACATGGAAGTCAAGATTCAACGGACTAAGAGGAGTGCCAATTCCTTGGCAGATTCATTGGCCAAACAAGGAGTGGGAAGAGTCAACTTTTTCTGGGCAATTTTGTAAACTGAAATGTAATTATTGGGAGGGTTAAGAGTTTTTACCCTTCCTCTTATATCTTTTTCTATTAATATCTATTAATAAAAGCTTCTGTTGTTTATCAAAAAAAAAATTCACCACCACTTGCTTGCTTGGAGGCCAGATAGTTGTTTTGCTTAGAATGTATCTCACAAGCTGATTTGGTTGATCAGAAAGCTATCTATGATGGGAAGAACACATATTCCTTCCTTTATAATGTGAGGAAAGTTGTTTTGCTTCCAGCTAAGGATCGAAAAGATCCCAGAACTCCAAAATCTCCTGTTTGCCCTTTCTATATCAAAGTTTGAGAAGGAAATTAAGTGTGAATCCAGCATACTTGAACATGTACAGCCTTTGTTGAAGGCAAGGTTCAATGTATTGACACGATTGGGCGTATCGTATCGTATCTTTTGGGTTCCAAAATACCTGTTTACAGGTGTTTTTGGGAACCCCTTTTTTTAATAAAAATACATATAAAAACCAACTTTTGAAAAAATAAATATATATAAAAGCACATGGTTTTAAGTACCAATACACCTCTGTTGATACACAGAGGTGTATCAATACTTTGAACCATGATTTAAGGAATTTGAGGATGCCTTTGACGGGGATTTACCTTTTGTACTACCTCAAATGAAGAAAATCCATCACCACATTGATCTCCTGCCAGGAGCCAGACTTCCAAACATGCCACACTATTGGATGACTCCTTGAGAGCATGAGGAACTGAGGATACAACTAGAGGAACTTGTCAACAAAGGATTTATTTGAGAAAGCATCCGTCCTTGTGCAGTTCTAACACTACTAAAGAAGAGACAGAAAGATATGAAAAATGGGATGATCATTTGTGCTTCTATACATCGAAATTTATAGCTCTCTCTAGGATACAAACTAGGTAACAAATCTCC